ATTTGGAATCAGTCCATATGTTTATCCGCTTGTTCTTTGCCAACTCCAAGGCTCTAGTCAAGGCTATTATTTCTGCCTTTTGTGCTCACGTGTTAGAGGGTAATGTTTTAGCTTCTATTACCTTTGAAGTTGTAGTTATGGCATTGTTTATCATCTTATCATTTAACAAAGCTGCTGCCATCGGTGAACCAGGAACCTGCACCTTCCAGAGGCTACTTCTTCAGATCTGGTCAGCTCAAAGACACTATCTCTACAGTGGCCAAGAAGTTGTGAGTCAGCAGTTCAGTAGGGGTTTCCTGAAGGAAACATGCTGGATTCACAACATTAGTAATCACACTTCAAGAAACGTGATGGCAATAGCCAATGTGTACATTTTTATACTGCATGTGATACTAACGCGGTGATCTTTTGTCCCAGTGTAAATTTTTGGACCTCTTGGATGTTCAACATAACTGCTGCCACTGTTCTCAGGCATGCAGGGCAGCCTTTATTTGGTTTATCCAGTTGTTTTGAAAAACAGGCCACTGCTCTTTTATAAGATTCCAATCTTTGAGCCAAAACCCCCAAGGCTATTTGCTGTTTTTCATAGAAATATAGCCAAAAGTGTTTAGTTATGTCCAGGAGCCCCAGAGGTGGAGCTCTCACGAGTTCTGTCTTTAAACTTTGGAATACTTCTTCATTTTGATCTGTCCATTTTAGAAATGCTGGATTTTCTTTTAGCAGCTCATATAAGGGTCTTACCAAAACACCATAATCATGGATCCAGAGTTGACACCATCCTGTCATTCCCAGAAATGTCCAGATATCTTTAACTGTGGATGGTTACGGGGTTTGGCAGATTGCTTCCTTCTTAGCTGCTCCAAGTTCTGGTTGTCCTCCTGTTATTCTGCATCCTAAATAAGATACTCGAGTTCAAATTAGTTGAGCCTTCAGTTTAGATACCAGGTATCCATTTAGCCCAGAAAGTTTAACAATTCTACGGTCTATTGAACACATTCTGTCTCAGTTTTGGTAGCAACTAACTGGTCATCCACATACTGTAGTAAAGTGCCTGTCTGGGTGGGTGCTTCCCAGAATTCTAATTCTAGTGCCAACTGATTTCCAAAAGTGGTTGGAATGTTTTTAAACCCCTGAGTTGACACCCTCCGAGTGAGCTTCCTCTTTCAGGGTTTTCCCATTCAAAAGCAAATAAATTTTGACTTTCTTTGGCCAGGGGCAGACAGAGAAATGCATCCTTTAAGTCCAGAACAGTAAACCGCTCCTGATTAGAATTCCATTTAGTTGATAAGGTTTACAGATTAGCTACTACTGGATGAATGTCCTCCACAATTTTGTTGATTGCTCTGAAATCTTGAACTAATCTGTAACTATTCCCATCGGATTTCTTTAATGGCAAGATAGGAATATTATATTCTGATTCACGTTCAATTAATAATCCATATTTTTAAAAATTATTTGTTTCCCTTTCGATCCTCCAATTTTAAGGGATATTGTTTAATTCTAAATGGGCAGGGCCCCCTTTTATTTCTACTTTAACAGGCAAAGCATTTTTTCGCCTTACCTGTAACTTCAGATGCCCATACTCCCAGCTACACCTGATTAAGGGTTGCTTCTATTTCAGGGAGGTCCTCCTGTTTGCTTTTCTGTTGAATTAAAGATAAACTCAAAACTTCAGTTAATTAATCGGTTTTGACTCTTAATTCCATTTTGCCTTCTTTAAATGTTGCTTCTCGCCCTAATAAAGATTTTGGGGGGGTTTGGCATGTATAAACAATTAATCATTCCTATTCGTTTTCCCAGTTTATACTCGAAAGGTTTCAGAAAGAATGCTTTTCTTTGGTTCTCTTTCCTTTTTTTTTTTTCTTGGTGGCCCGTAGCTTCCACATCTGTAACAAATTCTTCATTTCTTCTGATTTAACGTTGAACAAGTTGCTCCTTGTTAATAATTCCACTTTATTTCCACTAGTTCCTCGTTTTAATTTAACCACTGGATCTGCTAGGACAGATTCCCCAGGTCCCTGTCAGTCTAGTTCCAATTCAGTCACCGCAGCCACCCCACGGCACTCCCCCCAGGGCAGTCTCACTTCCAACATCCAAACTCCTTACAGTATGCACAGTGATCCCATCCCACAAGAGAATTCAATTTCTCATCTCTGCCTGTCATTCCTCTTCTACCTCTGCTCGTCCTCTCACATTAGTTCCTCCACCAGTTCCTACTTGTCCCAAAGCAGCCACTGTAGCCGTGCCTACAGCACAACTTAGCTCTTTCTTCTCTACATGTTTCCAATTCCAATACACTCTCCACACGTCTTTAACATTCTCAAGTCCTTCTGCTCTGGTGCCAGTGACAGCAACCTCTTCCTCCTTATCAATAACAGATAGGGCAAATGCCGAGAATACTCCCCTCAGAGGCACCTGTGATACATAATCCCCCAACCTATCTTCCTCATTATTCTGTTTGGGTTTGGTTTTGTTTGGTTTTTTTTAACTTTAAGCATCATTCCCCCAATATCACAGTCTGAACAACATCTCTCCAGCTTAGCTTTCTGTTTTTTCCTGTCCTTGTCCAAAGCCAAAATTAGGGATCTGGCAGAGCTATATTAATTTCACATTCTGTCTGCCACTCTGGGTGGTTTCTTAAAGTGAAAAACCTATCTGCATACATCACTTCATCCCATTTTCCCTGCTGCCTCAAAAACAGCGTTAATTGTAACAAGGTATTATAATTCAGAGTTCCATTTTTAGGCCATTTCTCCTGATCCCCCAGAGTATACAACGGCCAGCATTGGTTAGAATATTTCACCAACGTTTTCTCATTTACTGAGCCCCCAGGAAGCCCTCACAGTTCTTTCCAATGTGCCAAAATGCACCCTAAAGGACTCATTTTCAACATCTCTTCACTCTGCCGATTTCCCATTATCCATCTCGCATTCACATACACACACCCAGGATCCCACAGACACGGTCCACACAGTTACAACACTTGAGACCGAGACTAAAACTGTTAACAAAAGAACAAGAAGTTATAAGAGTCTGTCACCAATACCAAAATCACAAGATCAAAATCATCACCATAACAAGCCACAAAATAGACTCTCCACACACTTACAACACTTGAAACAGAGACAACAATTAATAACGCATTTATAACAGTCTATCACCAAGACCAAAATCACAAGACCAAAATCATAACTATAACAAGCCACAATATAAGTCAAGTACCAGTAAGAATCCAAAACCTTTTCTACAAGACACCCACTGCATCTTGCAGGACCCAAACCACAAGATGCCCCCTGCTTCTTGGGGGTTTATACCGAATTGACACTAGCAGCCGGGTATACGCATTTACCCACGAGATTTCCTATCTCGATTTATGGAAGGCTTCCAAACCATGTGTTTGCTTACCAATCCAGTCTACCAAACCAATTTAGCAAACCAAGATGCCCCCTGCATCTTACAGACTATATAAAAGAAAAGAATACCTTTTATGAGATGGTCCTTGTCTGCTCCTGCAGTGATCCGAATGAGTCAAGGGTTCCCTCCGGGAAAAACTCTCGAGGGCCCTCGGGAGCCCTGTCCTCAGCGGGTCCTGCAGCCGAGCAGAGAGGGTCCCACCTGGGGTGCCAAATTGATCTGGAGAAAACTCCAGGAACTCGCCAACAAAGTTTCAAGCTGACAAGCAGGTATTCTTTATTGCGGAGCCAGGAGACACGGGGGATAGCTCCTCCTAGCATATCTCACCCAGGCATCAACCAGGCTGTGATTATATTGTCCTTAAACATACATATTCATTAGATTACGTACATTACATACTTCTTAGACAATGCCTCCTGTATGCATACAAAAATGTGGCAGTGGGCTTTTGGACGCCTAGTGATTATTTCTTCATCACTTTGTTTTAGGATCATTGTCAGATCAGTAACCACCAGGTCGTTCTACCAAAGCTTATCTTACTAATTTTGTTTTCTCTATAGTTGCTAACAAAGCCTAATGTTCTTGAGGTTACTTATTTACAACCCTATTCTTCAGTCAACCCCACTCTTCAGAGGTGACCACAACCAACACCCACACCCAGAGATGGTGGAACTGGATGTGACATACGCTGCCCACCATAACAGGCATTCACCGACTTGTCCATGTGCCTACAAGCCCGCTTCCCTGGTGGGGAAGAAGTCCCCAGAACAGAGCCAATTGGAAGCACCAGGAACTGACCAAAACAGAGACACTTACGTAGATAGCTTTGAGGCTCATTTCTCCCCCTCAGCTCATTTATGTGCAGTTCCCTCTGCTGCTCCTGCAGGTTTGCCCACTCTTGAGCAGAAAAGCACATCGTCTCACTTTGGAACACCACTGATGGGGCTTACAGTCACAAAGGGAATGCACTCACCACCAGGCCTGGAGAAATCCTACAGAGGAATTCTCTGCCTGAATCCTATGCCACCACCAGGCATCAAGAAAGGAGAAAAAATGGAGAAAAAAAAACCCCTGCCCTGAGAACAATGATCACTTTAAGGACTGGGAGTCTCAAGGCATTTGACTTGCAAATTTCACAGCAAGGCTTCCCAAGGTGTGGAATCACTGTCCCAGGAAGTGTTCAAAACCACCTACATGAGGCCCTTAGTGACATGGTTTAGTGGTGGTCTTGGCAGTCCTGGGGTAATGGTTGGAAGGTGTTTTCCAACTTTTCTGTGATTCTATGATTCAACGTGCAAATCCCACAACATTCAAACTCTGAATGCCTCAAAACCTATATCTCCACCTGTATGGAACCCGAGCCCATCCCATAGGCATTTTACAGACCTCAGTGGGGAGGAAGAGCCTACTGTTTATGTTAAAAACATGACAACATGCTCTTTGGTGAGATAATACTGCAGAATCTAAACACATCTATGAGCAAACACTGCCTGCTTGATGCTTCAGGCCATGGGAGAGATAGTGGCAGGTAAAGTGTGATGGAGCCCAGTGAAGCCCCACGTGTGTCCCCCCCAAGCACCCTTCACTCATACCCTGGTGACCTTGACCCCGGAGGCGGCTGCAGGATCCGTAAGTTCCCACTCTTCAGAAGGTTCTCCATGTTCTCCAGGCTCCGCTGGAGCTGCCCATACTCCTGGATGAGGGTGCCTAGCGCCGCACACTTGCTCTCCAGCTGGCTCCCGAATTCCACCACCGTTTTCCCGCGTCCCAAGTGGTTTTTCTCGGTGGCGGCCACCCGGCTCTCCAAGTTCAGCAGCCGCGAACCGTGAGCGTCCACGCTCTGCTCCACCGTTTGCACCGCCGCCAACGCCGTCTTCAGCGAGACGCGGCTGCCGCAGAGCTTGGGACACCCACCCGCCGCCGGGGGCTCCACGGGGAAGCCGCAGCTCGCCGGGTGCGGGGGTTCCATTCCCGCCCTCCGCCGGCAGACAAGCGGCCGAACCAGCGCCTTGCGAGGCTGCAGCGCGGCTCCCACCACCCACGGGAGTCTTCAAGGGCTGCGCGCTGCTGCGGGAGCAGGAGGAGCCGCGTTAGGACCACCGCTACGGGGCATCACTGGGCACCACACCTGGATTTCTCACCTTTCTACAGGCAGCCGCGGCTCGCCAGGACCAGACCCTCCCCGCATCCAACGCGCCGAGCTCGAAGCCTGGAGCTTGGAGCCTGGAGCCCGTCCCGCCGCCGCTCAGCACCTAACCCGCCGCAGCCGGAGCCCCCTCCTTGCGCCGCGCCGGGTGCCGCCGCTTTACCATACCGCCAGGGGGCACCGTCCGGCCGCCGCTCGCCACAGCGCTTCCCCGCCGGGCGGATGCTGGCCGCACGGCTGCCGTGACTGGCAGCTGTCATTCACCGAGAAGAGGTTGATTTGAAGCGGGGAGGCGCACACCTGGGCTGAAACCCTCCTCCGCCGTTCCCACACAGCGGCGGCCCCGGGGAACGGGGTGACACCGGACACCCCCTCCCCGCCAGTCCCGTCCCGTCCAGTCCCGTCCCGTCCCGCAGGGCACTGAGGGGGGGCAGTGGGAGGGGGCAGCCGGCCGGCAGGAGGCGCGGCGCGGTGGCCAAGGGGCAGTGCTCTATCGGGAGGTAGGAGGGCGGGGCGGGGCCGGGGTCAGCGCCGCGCGAAAGCCGGTGCTGGTCGTCCCCGTCGCCGCGGTGGGGTCATGGCGGACGTGCGCACCATGCTCGAGGCCCTGGAGCAGCGGCTGCAGCGGACCGAGGCGGTGCTGCGCGACGGTTCCCCCTGGGCGCTGCTGCTGCCCATCGTACGGACCGGCCCGGGAGCGGGGGGAATCGGTTTGGGGGGGTTGGAACGCGCTTGTGGAGCCGGTGGGGGCTTAAGGGCGGTCTGAGAGCTGGCAACGAGCCGTGGAGGCATGTAGGGGGCTCTTGGGGGCTGGAAGTGGCCTGGGGGGGTCACTCACGGGGTCATTGTGGGGCTGAGTGGTGGCTTGTGGGGCTGGTAATGAGCCGTGAGGCCACTGGGAGTGCTGTTGGGTGATGTGGGCTAGGGGAAAGTCTCTGTGGCCACTTAGGAGGCTGCTGGGAGGTCATGGGAGCTGGGAGTGACCTTTTTAGCCGCTCGGTGTGCTGTTGGGAGGTGATGGGGTCACAGGGGTGAGCCTGTGTGGGCACCTGGGGGCTGTTGTGAGCATGACTGGGCTGAGAATGAGCCGGGGGGGTGATTATGGGGCCGTTGTGGGGTTGGGAGCTGGTTGTGAGGCTGCTGAGGTGGCCTTTAGGAGACTGGGTGAATCCAGTGGGGCTGCTGGGGGGCTGACAGCTCTTTGGGATAGGTCTTGTGTGACTCCAGTAGACTTGTGGGGAGCTACTCTGGGGGCTGTTGAAGGGCTGGGGTGCAGTTCTAGGGGCTGGGAGCTGGCCGGGGGGGGGGGGGGTACACCTTCCTCCCTTCTACAACCCAGTCCTGTGCTCCCAGGTTCCAGTGACGTTCAAGGACATTGTGGTGCACTTCAGTGGGGCAGAGTGGGCAATCCTGGATGATGGACAGAGGGAGCTGTACCGAACTGTGATGGAGGACAACTACGAGATGCTGATGTCCCTGTGTAGGCTCCATTTGCGCTGGCTTGGCAGCCACCGCCACTGCCTGCAGGGCTCTCTCTTGGGGTTACTTTCCTACTTCTTTGTGTTTCACTGGGATCTCCAGCCCTCAAACGATCCTCTCAATTCCCTGTCCCCTCTGGCAGCCCTCAGGAGGGGGATAGTAAGTGCTCTGTGTCTTCTCCTCATGGAGAACAGGTTCACTGATGTCCCTCCATTGCCATCACAGAAATTCCTTCTCCCACGTCTTGTCTAGATCCTCATGTGGTTTCCCATCAGTGTGATAGATGTGTCTGTCTGTCCTGGAATGAGTAGTGTAGATGGTAAGGCTCCCTTACTGCAACGGCAGAGCCAGGCAGGGGAGCAAATCTGGGGCAGCCTTTGGGGTGCTTCTGGCTGGATTTCTCAATGCATGGCTCTCACAGCTGGAAACGAGCTTTCCAAAAAGTCCTGTTAGACTTGATCTTAGGGATCTTTTCCATCCTAACTGATACTATGACTCTGTGACACCCCGCTTAGCTCACTTAGTTTTTTATATCCTCCCTTAGAAGTGCTGTCTGCATCTCTAAGTCCCTTTGTACTGGCAGTGGTGCAGCCCCAGTTGGAGATGAAGCTTTTCTGGGCTGGGGCTGACGTTGTGTTGACTGTGGATGTTGTTCTGATGTCTGTCTTGCCCTTGAGCAGACTGTACCATGTCCAAGCCCGAGTTCTTACTTCAGATCGAAAGCGAAGAGGAGCTCCACACGCCAGCGGCGACAGGAAGCCTGGAAGGAACTGACACGTCCCTGGAGCAAGCTGCAGGTGTGTGACACTGGGTTTTCCCTGTGCCAGGCTCCTGGCTGCTTACCAGAGTGATTGTGTTTGCTGCCTTCAGCCCTGGGGACCTCATCCAGTTCCACCCCCCTGCCATAGGGGTGTGGAACTTTCCACTAGACCAGGTTGCTCCAAGCCCCATCCAACCTGGCTCCTCCTGATGCTGAGTGCCCTTATCCTCCCCAGAGTCAGACAGCCTGAGCTGCACAAGTGACGGTGCTGTGCTGGAGATAAAAACAGAGTCTTGTGAGGGGACCTATGAGAACCCAGAAGAGAGCAGTACTCCTGTGGTCTCAGGCAAGTGCAGCACACGTGAGTAGCTGCAACCCCTGCTGGCACCAGGGACCCTGCGCCCCTGCCTGGCTCCGTGTCGCCCAGTGCCTTCACGGCTCCTCTTGCCTTCGCAGTGAACATCCCTCATGAAGCTGCTGCTGTCCCAGCATCCCTTGGCCAGCCAGCGCTGTCCCCTTCCTGCCCTCTCTCCATGTGCTGCTTGGAAGTAGGGAATCCGAACGCATCTCTGTCGCCTCCCCCTGCAGCAGGTACAGAGTCTTTCTCCCTCCTTGAGCAGCACTGACACACTCTGAGAGCAGGAGGAGCTTCCTGCAGGGCTCGCTCTTGGCATGGGGCTTTTGAGGCAGGGTTTTACATCATTCAGAGGGGCCACGAAAGGGCTCGGGCAGCAATTCGTGCTGCCAGCCTTGACATCGTAGAGGCCAAGGCATGGCTTGGTGCCAACCAGCCAACCCAGTGGATTTGCCTCAGAGTACAAGCCCTGGTGGTTTTTTTGGACTCCCCCCATCCTACTGCGGTGACATGTGTCATCTCACACTGTCCCTGGGGTGTCCAGGGGGATGAGCTGTAGCTGTGCTCAGTCTTTATGGAGTCTGGGTGGGAAGACACTGATCTGGAAGAGGGGAAGCAGGGGTGAGATTTGTGCTGGCTGTGGAGGGTGGGATGGGATGAAAGCCATTTGCTTTTGATGCCTTGGCCTCAAATCTACATAAGGGTGATATCTGGGCTCTGAATATGTTCTGGCAGATGCTGAGGTGGAGATCCCAACAGAGGTACCACAGGAGGATGTCGCTGTGGAGGAGCTGGCAGTGCCTGAAACACCCTCAATAGATCTGAAGGAGGAGGACATGAAGGATGTGGAGTGCAGTGGCCAAAACTTGGAGGCAGAGCTCCCTGCAGACCCAGGGAAGGGGGCAGTGCCGGATGACTGTGGAGCAGGGGCCCAGGCAGATCCCAGCTGCACAGCCACCGCTGTGGGAGAGCCCGTGGAGGGCTCCTGTGTAGGCCAGCGGAATTCCACACGGGAGAAGATGTACTCCTGCTCTGTCTGCAGGAAAAATTTCCTGCTCGAGATCAACCTCATCATCCACCAGTGCAGCCACAGCAACTGGGTGCCCTACATCTGCGTCCACTGCGGCCGCAGCTTCATGTCCAAGAGGAAAATCCGGCATCACCTGCGGGCCCGGCAGGTCCTGGGGCTGTGCCAGCCCTCGGAGGTGGAATGCGCTGTGTCCCAGCACCGGGGCTGCAGCACTGCCAAGAGGAAGCCGAGCAGCAGCGCATTCCCGCTGCCACCAGGGAACGTGATGTATACGTGCAAGGAGTGCATGGAGAACTTCTCCAGCCAGAGCTTCCTGATCGTGCACCAGTGGCAGCACAGCCAGGAACACCTCATCCTCTGCCCCTGCTGCAACCAGAGCTTCACCTGGGCCTCGGACTTTGTCCGCTGCCACCAGCCCCACATAGGCGAGCGGCCCTACCAGTGTGGTGTCTGCCAGAAGGCTTTCAAGCGCTACCAGCACCTGGCCATGCACCAGCGGGTCCATGAGCGGCAGAACAGGCCCTACCCCTGCGCAGAGCCGCTGCCTGTGCCGGAGGAACCTGTTTAGGTGCGGAGGTGGAAGCGGGAAGCAGAGTAGAAAAACAGGTGGGAAGCTGGGAGGTCTCCTGGGAATAAGAAGCTGTGGTTGGACTTTCTCATCTTCCCCTAACTGACCGTGGATGCAAGCATATTGGGTGAAGGGTGGAGCATGGGTGCCATCACCTGGCTCCTCCGTGGGGATTGAGGACACCCAATGTTGCAGTGTGTGTGTGTCATCGTGTGTGCTGCATGGGTTGCGCCTCATGCCTGAGCCCTGGTGGGTCAGCTGGGAGCGGGAGCTGCCATGGCTGTGGACACGTGCCTTTTCTGGAGAGTGCCAATAGATGCTGTAGAAACCAGGATACTGCCTTTGGCTGAACGTGGCTTCATTCAGCTGTGGGGGAGGAGGGAGCATTGGGAATGCTGGTGGGGTGTGATGGGGTGAGGCTGGGGGAGCAATGGGGGCAAGGAGGGGTTGTGATCTGGGTTAATGGGCAGGACCTGTGGCCCCTGTATGGAGGTGGAGATGGGACCGGGATGGGATGGGGACAGAAAGGGGATGAAATAGAGACGGAATGGGGATGAGGATGGGATGGGTGTGGGACTGCATGGGATGAGGATGGGATGGGATGGGATGGGATGGGATGGGATGGGATGGAAGGCCCGTCCCAGTGTGGGCCGGGCGAGGGGCGGTGCTGCGAGCGGGCCGCTAGGGGGCGCTGTGGCGCGGCGTCGGCTGCAGTGCGTGCGGCCATGTCCCGTTGGGGCCCCGCTCAGGTATGGGGGGGTGGCGGCGGCGGCTCCTCACACCTTCCCCCCCTCCACCTTCACTCCCCGCCACCGCGGGCACCGGGCGGAGGGCACCGGCCATGTCCCGATGCCGGCCCGCCGGGGTGTCAGCCCCCGGTACCTACCGGCAGGCCCGAGCGGGCCCGGAGCTGCTGTGAGGGGCGGGAGGGGCCGGGTCCGCCGGTACCGCGGCCGCACCGGCCCCGTCCTGACCCCGCCCTGGGCAGCCCCTCACCGCCCCTCCCGCCCCGCAGCAGGAGCCCGAGTGGGGGCCCGAGGCCTGGCAGCAGCTCCCGAACGCGGGCCCCGAGGGGGCGAAGCCGTCGGCGGTGCCCGAGGTGTCGCTGTGGACGGTGGTGGCGGCGGTGCAGGCGGTGGAGCGGAAGGTGGAGTCGCAGGCGCTGAGGCTGCTGAGCCTGGAGGGCAGAGCAGAGACAGCCGAGCAGAAGGTGACCGGGCTGGAGAAGGCGGTGCTGGACTTCGGCAGCCGGCTGGAGCGCCGCTGGGCCGCCCTGGCCACCCTGCTGCAGGAGAGCTCCCGCCGCCTCGACCACGTTGAGCGCCAGCTCCAGCACCGCGGTGGGCCCGGGCCCGGTATGGTCCTTGCCGGGGACGAGCCCAAGGTAATGACAGGGATGAGCTTTGGTTGATGGGGATGAGGCCACGGTGACAGGGATGGGCTCCAGGTGATGGGGACGAGACCAAGGTAACTGGGGAGGAACACCAGGCACATGGATGAGCCCACGGTGATGGGGATGAGCCCATAGTGACAGGGGTGAGCCTAAGGTAACACTGGCAGTGAGTCCTGGGTAACAGGGACAAGCCCACCATGAGCACAGGTATGGGGGATGAGCACAAGGTAGTAGGGACAAGCCCCTGCCTATGGGGACATGCCCACAGTGACGAACGGGGACAAGCTCCAACTAATGGAGACGCGCCTAAGGTCACAGGGTTGAGCACCAAATAACAAGGATGTGCCTAAGGTGGCAAACGGGAATGAGACCCAGGTAACAGGGACACGCTTAAGGCAATAGAGATGTACCCCAGGTGACCATATGGCCAGTGAGATGTGACACTGGCTCTCGTGGAGAGCTGCACAGAGCAGCTTGGTCATGGTCCCGCTGGTGCTCCAGCACACGAAGGCAGCAGGCAGAGAATTCTTGCTGTTCCCTGTCCTCAGTGAAGACGGGAAGCAGGACACAACCTCCCTGTGCATTTTCAGCCTGTTGGCTCCTACTGGTCACCGTGCCGGTGGGACAGTGCCTGTGTGAGGGGGTTGCTGCTCACCCAGCTCCTTTCCATTGGAGCTGTGGGGCTGGCACTGCTTTACCCACAGTCCGCTTCCCTGGGGGAGTGGTGGGGATTGGTGAGTGCCCGAGGTGGGAAGCACCAAGGTGGTGCCATATGTGATTTCAGATGCCAGCGGCATGCGAGGATGAGGTGGCAGGCTTGCCAGAGCAGGAATGGGGGAGCATGGACAGCCAGCAGAAGGAGATCTCCAGGATGGCGATGAAGGGGAATTACGATGAGGCTGGCGTCTTCCTTGGTGAGGATTGGTCTCTTCTCACGTGTCAGACATGTTGTCATCCCTTGGGATGGCTCCAGCTTACGGCTGTGTGTAGGCTGCTGTGTTGTCCAGGTGTTCAGAGGAGAACAGGTAGTGAGGGGTGACACCTTTACACTTTTCAGGTGCCCTTTGGTTGTGGGTGACAGCCATGCCTCGTGCTCACCCTGCTCATCCGAAGGACACTAGCAGTGCTGTCTGGGGCTGTTCAGGCACCAGATGGTCCTCTGTGAGCCCCAGCTTACCTGTTGGGCGCAGAGGAGAGCCCTCCTCACGTGCTCAGGGCAGCGTGTGGTGGGGATTTTGGGTGATGTGCCCATGGTGTGTTGTGCAGCCTGCGTTCATGCACCATTTTTTGCCAGGACATGGGCCGTACATCTGCCACCCTGTAGGGTTTTGCTGCAGCCAGTTGTACATTTTAGCACTTACTACTTTTGACTGAAATTTTAAAGGCTGAGCTCCCAACAGTCACCTGAAATCACTTGCCTGGTTGGGCTGACACCAGCCTTCTTGCTTGGATGGCACTGGGAAGTCAGAGCATCTGCTCTGGGAATCCAGGACCCCTCCGGGCACCCCACAGCTCCCACTGTGTGAGAACATCCCTTTATTGAGGGAAACTGGTGCTGGTCACGACCATCAGTGGTTCATACCACCGACTCCTCCTTTCAGGACCTGCAGATGACAGCTCCAAACCCACTCTGCTGCTGCCAGCCGAGGATAGGGAGGATCCGGGTGCGAGGACCCAGGGGCTGCCGGATGAGGGATCCATGCTGGGGCACCTCGGCTGCAGTGAGTCACAGCCACGAAGGCTGAGAGCGCCCAACAGGGACACAGCAGGGCTAGGCAGGGTTGGCACTGGGTACATTGCTCCAGTGCTGCCCGCACACTGCCACTGCCTGCCTACAAAGTGAGGGGCATGGGGCCTGCCCGCTGCTCCCACTAGAGATCTGCCAAGCCCAGCATGTCCCTGCAGGGAGTGTTTCCAGTTTTGCGTGGGGTCAGAAGGTGCTGGAAATTTAAGCCATGTGACTGGGGCTTCCTTAACACTTCTAAGACCAAATGTTTAAGCCCAGAAAAGCCCCCATGCCAGAATGAATGGAAAATGATGCCACATCCCTGGAAGTGATGCTCCATCCATGGAAGTGTTCAAGTCCAGGTTGGACAGGGCTTAGGGCAACCTGGTCTAGTGGAGTGTGTCCCTACCTGTGACAGGGTTTGGAACTGGATGGGCTTTAAGGTCCTTTCCAACCAAAACCATTCCACAATTTCATGAAAACAGGGAGGCCTGGGCAAGGCTGGGTGCGAGGGTGTCTCTGTGGCCGTTTGCCTGCAGATGGACTCTCCCTGCTGCTCCTGGAAGGTTTTGCTTCGCTCCTTTTCCCCAGACTCACCCACCTAAACTCTGCCATTCCCAACAGAACTCCTTCCAGGACAGAGTACTCTGCAGCCTCCACTTTGCCTTCCTATTTCCTCTGTTTTGGTTTATTTATTTATTGCTTTGTCAGTCCACCAAACATCCCTGAAGTTCAATGGGATACCCTGATAACCCCTAAGAGGTGCCAGCACCCTCTCCACCACCTCACATGTCCCTCTCCGACTTTGCTCTTGGTAAAACCTTCCCATTACACTTCTCATGCCACAGTTGCTGGTTCACCTTGGTGATGTGCTTGCAGGGAGGCACAGCTCCTGCTCCTGGAACTGTGAGCATGGGAGAGCTTTCCTTGCCAGGAATGAATTGCTGTCTCTTGGCAGGTGAGAACATCGTGATCAAGACAGAAGAGCAGCAGCCCCAGGAGGAAGGACCACAAGTCCTGGCTCTGCCAGAGGCACCCTCACTGAGGCTGGAAGAGGAGGTTCCCCTGAGCCAGGAGCAGCCGGTGCCCTGGGAGCACCATGCTGCCATGGATGGGCAGAAGGCAGAAGGAACGGGCTTAGGGGACTTCTGCCCAAACGAAACCACCACCCAGCTTGAATTTAAGCCCGTGGTGGTGCCAGTGGAAGCTCACCCTGCCCCAGGCTTGCCCTTCCCAACAGAGCATGTGCTTGGTGTGGGGAATGACCAGCCATTTGCCCTGTCCCAAGGCATGCCGCTGGGAGCAGAAACCAGCGCGGAGGTGGCTTCATCGCAGCTCAGCTCGGGGGAGCATCGTCCTTGCGCCCGGGGGGAAGAGCCCTGTGCGTTCCCACTGGGCTGGAAGAGCGCCCGGCTGAAGCGCAACCTCCTGGCACGGCAGCAGAGCAAGGCGAGGAAGAGCAATGGCTCCTTCATCTGCACAGCCTGCGGGAAGAGCCTGGCCCATCACGCTGCGCTGCTGCGGCACCAGCGCCTGCACACGGGCGAGCGCCCCTTCCAGTGCCCGGCCTGCGGGAAGAGCTTCAACGAGAAGTCCAACCTCAACAAGCACTACCGCATCCACACCGGGGAGCGCCCCTACCGCTGCCCTGCATGCGGCAAGGGCTTCATCCAGAAGCACCACCTCCAGAAGCACCAGCGCATCCATGGGGTACAGCTGCGGGGTGGCTGGGCAGGCCGGGCCCCACGGGCCAGCGCTGCCGGGGAGCGGCTCTACCGCTGCATCGAGTGTGCCGAGAGCTTCCCCCAGAAAGTCTCTCTGGAGGAGCATCAGCGCAGGCACACGCAGCAGCGGCCCTTCCAGTGCAGTGGCTGCACCAAGAGTTTTCGGCACCGGCAGTCTCTGAACCACCACCAGAAGATCCATGCTGTGGCCAGCTCTCCTGCTGTCAGCTTGCCAAACCACGACCGGGAGCTGGAGACCAGCCCCTGTGCCGCTTTGACCCAGGATAATCGGTAGCGTGAGGGGTGCACAAGGGAAGGGGCAGTGTTTTGTTTCTCTGGGCTGCTCCGCAGAGGTGTGGCAGCCCCCGACGATGGAACACACGAGGTGGCTGGTTTCACACCGCTGTGGGGCTGTCCACAATACTGTGGGGCTGGTGGTACCACCATGGGGCTCTGCACTGTGTGGGGCTCCAGGAGGAGGAGGAAGGAGGAAGGCTGAAGTGCTCTGCAGGCAGCAAAACATGCAGGGGGTGAAGAGACTGGCCTGAAACAGTGGAGGAGGTTCTGGGATCCGGAGCTGAGCCGGGTTGTGCCGCTGCCCTGTGATGAGGGATCTGGCTGAGGAAGAGCCATGTTGGGCACTATGAGGTGGTTGAACTCAGGGTTATTGAACACCACCAGCATGGCAGGGGTGAGGGGTAGAGGCTGGTCAGCAGCTGGGGAAGAGACACGGATAAAAGACTGGGCTGATGTGGTGGTCTCCTGATGCGCTCTGGGCTACTGGGGCAGGGAGAGGGGACCTGTGGGTACATGGCCCATGAGTTACAACTCACACCTTGACCGTGGTTGTAGTCAGGTATGCGGCTCCCACTCTGCCACCCCGCCACTTCCAATTGCTCACTCTGGTGGGGGGGAAAGCCCGGCTGTCACTCTGGTGTCAGGCAACCTGAGGATGGTTCCTTGCAATTCATACAAACCAGGAGCCCAAGTGCCACTGGGCCCTGGGCTTCACATCAGGCCGGAGGCAGCTGCATCCTTCTTGGCCAGGAGGGGAGGAATCTGAAGCTGCCCCGTGGTAATGCAGAGCTGCCTGATTGGAATGTGGAGTTGCCAGTCACAGCCTGTTCTGGGGATATGGGCCCCATGGCAATTCCCAGAGTACTGAGGGATACCTCCCTCCTGCCTGCAGCCCTGCCTGTGACAGTCAGGGCCACTCCATTGCCTGTCCTTTCCCAGTCCCTTTGCGTACTCTATCTCCTACATTCCAAAGGCTCAACCTTCCAGGTCAGAGTCCTGAGGCAGTGCTTGTCTCCCCTCGCTTTGGCCCCCACACAGCATGGCAGCTACCTCCACTGAGGGTATCCCCATGGCTTTGGTGGCCATTTCAAGTACTAGCAGAGCCCTGGAGCTGGTGGGGGAGGGACTGGGCTGCCAGGGGGCAGGATCCTGCCCCTCTGCTGGGCCCTGGGGCACACACCAGGGTGCTGGGTCCAACAAAACGGACTGGGGTAAACTGGGGGGTGTCCAGCAAGGACTGGGACAGAGGCAAAGGACCAGTGTCCCCTGCAGTGGTGGCGCATGGGCTCCTCAGTGTGATGAGAAGGGAGCAGAGGCTGTGATCCTTTATGATCCTGCTGCCCTAGGTACAGCCCTGCTTTCTGGGCTCTCCCAGCCCCACTGCACAGCTGCAGTGGCAGATGACAGCCCTGTGCATTCCCCATACATTCACCCTTGGGACATTGCCTGGGATCTTGGCCAGCCACCATACACAAAAGGGGGTGATGGAGCTGCTAGTGAGGACTCCCAGGCTCCCTCTGCCTCACTCTACCCAGGCCGAGCTAGGTTACTCCTGCACCAGCCAGGCACAGGGGTGCCATGCACATCAGGCAGACATACAGACAAATACTTTATTGATTCCATAGCCTGAGAAAAGGGTCTGGGATTTCATAGGAAATGCTGGTCCCAATCACGACAGCTTCAAAGGAAAAGCGCTGGCCAGAGGGAGAGGCCGGCCCCTCCATGCCACTTGTGCTGGCCTCAGAGGCATCACCCGCCAGCAAAACCATCACAGGTGTCATCGGAACGTACATGGGAGCTCTACCCAGGCAGGGATAACCAGTGCTGTCACTACCACACACACCCCCGCTCCAGACTCATCACCATGCGACCATGAAGTATCAATGGCCCTGCTATCCTGCAGTGCTCTGCTGCAGGCAGCCCCAGCCCTTCAAGGCCAATGTGTGTGGCACCGTCACCCCCTCATGGCAAAATGCCACATCCAGGCACTGCAATCCCAGGAACTGAGTGAAAAACCATCCCAGAGGAGCAGGGGGAGGTCTTGTGTGTCCCCAGGGAGCGGCAATGACACTGCCATGCCTCCCACGTGAGTCACCACGAATGAGGAATGGGATAAAAGCTTCTCCATGCGACGTGCATGGAGGAGTACACAGACTTGGGGGTGTCAAATAAGTACATCAAGCAAAGCAGAAAGAAAACAATCCTGAACAGAAAAACTAAGTCTCAGCAGCTCCTCTGGGCTGCATGGTGCTACCTTGCTCTGTACATGACCTAGTGTGAGGTGTCCCTGCCCACAGCAAGGGATTGGAACTAGATGATCTCAAGGTCCTTTCCAACCCAAACCATTGTGACTGCTGGGCCTGGCTTCTGTTGCTTGCCAGTCTTCCATTACCCACCTGCCTCAGGGCAGGCCTCGCTCCAGAAGCCATTTGAGGTAGCAGAACTAGTCCTCCATGGGATTAGTTACAGCGGGATTCTGCACGTGACTAAAGGAGACAACGTGCAGTTTGGAGAGCAAGGGCTTCCTTCTTTCTGCAGTGGGACAAGGTAACAGACGAGGGGAGGGTTCCTTGCGTGGAGTGCTGTAGTGCTGCAGGAGTCACCTTACCTGTGAAGTGCACCTGTCCAGGTTCGTCCTGAGAGGACTGACACTCACAGGCTCCTGTGGGCTGGCCCTGTTGCCAGAAGGGGTGTTGCTGGGACCCTGAAATCACCTGCAGCACCCTCACAGGTGAAAATGTTATGGTTTGATTTGTTCTATGGGTCTTCCGATGCAGACTGTGTCACCAGGGTGGGGTATCAGCCAAGTATGGCCAGTATACAGTGGGGTCTTGGAGATGCCACACTCTCTCCATCCAGTGTCCTGGTCAACGAACTTTATCAGTGAAGCATTCCTTGGGAATCTTGCCTGGTTCACTGGCTTGATTCCCTTCCCTCTGTCCTCTTCACCGTGTCATTGTGTTTCCACGCACAAGGGACCATCAAGTAACGGGTGATCAGCTGCTGTTTGCAATTCCTCTCTCTGGCTGCAGTAGATGTAGCTGATGATTCCCCAGAAAGGTCTGCTTGGGAAAACTTGGGGCAAAAGCCAGTAGACACAAGAGTCCAAGGAATGGCAAAGGGGTTTGGATCACTGGAGGCTTCTGTAATTTGCTGATTATGGTGCTTCCAAGCTTATGGTTCCTTCTACAATTCAGGAAAGCTCCTAAAATCCAACGGACAGATGGTTCACAATCCCAGTGTCTCACCATGTGCAATATCAGTGCTCATGCCGTTCCTCTCTAAGGTCACGAGCAGTTTGGCTCTGCCCATCATTATTTCTCCATCAGCTTTGAAACCACTGCCCTGTTCCCCAGCCTAACCACAGGCTGGACGCCTTGCCCAGCCCAGCCATGGGAGCTCACGTCCAGCCTGAGGTCTGCCAGGCCGAGCGGGAGCACGTTTGCTGGTACAGCTTTGGCTGGAGGGCTCACGTTCCTCTCGGATGCCTCAGCTAGCGAGTGAGAAACACTCGTGCTCATGGGCACCTCTGGGGCTTCTTGTGGCTGGGGCTGCTGGGACACTGGCTCGCTCTGCTGGACCACTGGCACGCTCTGCTGGACCACTGGCACGCTCTGCTGGACCACTGGCACGCTCTGCTGGACCACCACAGCCTTCTGGCGCTCGTGTATCTTCTCGTGGCGCAAGAGGTGGGTTTTGCGGGTGAAGCACTTCTTGCAGATGGAGCAGCAGTGCGGCCTCTCCTGCGTGTGGGTCTGCAGGTGCCGATGGAGGTTATAGGTGCAAGAGAAGATCCTTTTGCAAAGGTTGCATTTCATTACAGGCTTCTTCTGAGTCTTAGGGCTCTGCTGCCGGGAGAAATACGTGCTGGACAGGCTCGGGCTGTCCACCTCCTCCTTAGGCTGGGCCAGCCAGGGCCCTCCCCCTGCACAGGTCCTGCTGGCCAGGCTGCGGGCATCTCTGCAGAGAGTCCCACAGAACTTCCCCCTGGGCCGGATCCTCAGCTCGGGGTGGACATTCCCCCACACCTTGGCCCCAAAGGCCCTGTCTTTTATGTGGATGCTCTGGTGAAGGTCGAGGTGGCGTTTGTCCGTGAAGCTGATCTCGCACATGGCGCACTCGTAGGGCCCCTCTTTGGCGTGGCTCCGCTGGTGAATGATGAGGTTGATCTTCAGGCGGAAGCGCTTCCCACACTCGGTGCAGGGGTGCGACCACTCGCGCACATACCCGCGCCGGCAGTTGCCCATCAGCAGGCTGTTGTTCGCGCACCGGCTCGGCTTCTTCTTGCTCTTAGCCTTGCCCTGCTCGCTTCTGGGGCCGCTGGGGAAAGCCGTGCTTGAAGAGGCTGCGGAAACACCTTGTAACACTGTAGGCTCCTCTTCCTTCACCTTGACGTTTTTAGGAGCAGCTTTGTCACGTGCCGGTTCCTTTTCCGTTAATAAACCTTCCTCTGAAACAGAACACACGCATTGGTGATTCACGCTCTCCAGACAAACCCAGGTTCAGTTCCAAAGCACTGAGCAGGTTTTTACCTTAGCTTTTGGGAGCTACCACCAACTGTGAGAGAAGAGTTTGGAAGGGCACAACTGGCGCCGCCACAACGTCCTGAGCCACTCAGTGTGGTCTCAGGGGGTCCCAGGAAGAACCAGGCTGTGGTCTGCTGCCATGCCAGCACAGAGGCATCTGCCTCCAAAATCATGACACCAGTGACAGCCACAAGACGTAGCAGAAAAGAAGGTCACTGAAGAACTGACAGCCTGCAGTACTATGAGCTCTTCACTTCTGTCGAGCTTGGGTCTGCCAGCAAACCCCAAATGTTGTAGCCAAACCAGCCCTCCTCGTGAGGGCTGTGACAAACTACCCACCTCCCCTGCATCCCAGCCATTGAGCTGGCGTGAGCAGTTCCCAGACCCAGTGCCAGAAACAGGTTCCGAGCCCCTGACGAGGGAAGTGCTCTGTGTATTAGCTTGGCAAAGCTTCAGGACCAGAACAGAGGGTGTCTGCACACAGCCACCCTGCTTCCTGCACCCCCTGCTCCCAGCATGGAGAACTGGGCCATGCCACAGGAAGCTCAAGGCCAGCTCTACGACAGCACAGCAGAGCTGGAGGAAGGAAGTGTGCTACCACTGCCAGCTCTTCCTCAGTTTCTGATAGAAGGAACTGCGACTGGCCCGTAGCTCTTTCCATACAGACGATGGGGCTGAAATGGCCAATGCCAGTCCCCTGCCTTGCTCAGTGATCAAAGGGAGGCTTGAAACTTTCTTCTCCCTCCCCATTTCCAGCACATTAGTCAGCTGGTAGCTGCTTCCTGCCTGCAGCACCCCGTGTCTCCCCAGCCTAGAGTTACTCACTGGTGCTGGGCTCAGCCGGGTTCTCTCGCGTCTTCGGTGCGGGCTGTTTCCCACTCCGCAGCTGTTTTTTCTGGGCAGGCAGGGACGTGACGTCCATCACCAGGATGGGGAGTTCTGCTGGCAGAAAAGAGCAACTGTAAAGACCCATGGAGAGCTCCCATCTTTCTGCTTTGGTGGAATACTGTGTTGGGAGCATGGAGAAGAGACAGAAAGCTGCAGCTCAAGAAGCCATGACATGTTTTAGCAGGGGAGGTTTAGGTTGGATATTAGGAACATTTTCTTCATCAAAGGGTTGTCAAGCATTGGAACAGGCTGCCCAGGGATGTGGGGGCGTCACCATCCCTTCTGGTATTTACAAGACTTGTAAACATGGTGCTTTAGGGACATGGGTTTGCGGTAGACTTGGCAGTGCTGGGTTAACAGTTGGACTCAATGATCTTAAAGGCCTTTTCCAATCCAAACAATTCTGTGATTCTATGGAAAGCACGTGAGATGTTAGAAGGAACAGGAGCGAAGCCACACACAAGGACCAGAAGCAAAGGGAGGGCTGGGAGGAGAGAAACCCAGGCGCTATGTGCTGTCACCTCTGGAGGGCAGCCTCATCCCTCCTAAACCCTTCCTCATCAATTCCACGGGCAGCATTCCCACATCCCCTTGAGTTTAATGCCTCGAACCCTTTCTGCTTTCCATGGCAGCACCTTGACAACACACCCCAAGGCTTCTCGCTTTCCCTGCTGATGCTTCTTTTAAGCACAGTGACCTGCTGGGAGCCCTCCTGAAAGCTGGCACAAGAACAGCCCAGGTAAACACATCCCACTGACACCCACCAAACTCACCTCTGTTACCTTCCACGGGGTCTTTATCTTTTCCCAAAGCCTTCTTCACCTGGTTCATCTCTTCTGGCGTCTGTTGGGGCTTCTGACCATCCATAATGCCTGTCTGAGGAGCCTTCTGCCTGGCTTTACTGCGTGTCTGTGGGGGCTCATCACCCACCTTGGCACGTCTACGTGGGAGCTTTGAGACATCTTTGGCACGGACCTCTTCATTCCTCTCGATATGGGAGGGGACGTCAGGCTTGGACATAGTATTCTCTGCTCAGGGGACAAAGGACAGTGTGTTTTATTAGGATCTGGATGCACTTTTATCCTGTCAAACTCCAGAAGCGATGCTTCTCTCCCTAGAGAGCTGGCAGGAAGTGCAGGTGACTGAACAGAGTTACTGAGATCTTCAGTAAGAGAACATGAAAATCCCTAAGGAGAGGGACAGCTTCTCTCTAGGCAACATCTTTTTTCTCTCTTCCTGCGAGCACTTGACAAAACAACCCCCAAAGACACACCTGGGGCTCGTATAGTTTCTGTTAGTGCTCCCCAAAGGACAGAGCCTGCCCTTTGCCCCTCATCAACACTCACCCAGCCTCTCTTGGGGCTTCTTTCACCCCAACTCATCAGTCCTCCAGGAATGAGCTCTCCATCACAGCTCTACCCACATGTCTCCTCTTCTCCTGGCTCTGCCCATCCCTTTCAAGCCTTCACACTGAACAATTGATTTTCCGGCTCTCCCATGCCATGCCACCCAGCTCTCCTCACTTCTGCTCCCCAGCAGCACTAGCAGGGCTGCTCCAGCCTCCTCCTCTGTCGTGGCTTAAGCCCAGCTGGTAACTCAGAACCACACAAGTGCTCGCTCACTCCCCACCCCAACATTCTTTCTACCCCCGTTCCTGAAGGGATGGGAGGGAGAATCAAAAGAATGTAACTCCCATGGGTTGAGATAAGAGCAGTCCAGTAACTAAGGTATAACACAAATCACTGCTACTGCCAGCAATAGTAATAATGGTAAGGGAAATAACAAGGGAAGAGAATACAACCGCTCACCACCCGCCGACCGATACCCAGCCTGACCGAGCAGTGCTCTAACCCTTCCGGGTAGCTGCCCCCAGTGCTACATCCTGGGCATGCCGTGCTGTGGTATGGAATACCTCTTTGGCTAGTTTGGGTCAGGTGTCCTGTCCCTGCTTCCTCCTGGCTTTCACTCCTCCCTGGCAGAGCGTGAGAATGAGAAAGACCTCGGTCAGAGTAAACATCACTGAGCAGCAACTGAAAACATCGGTGTTATCAGTGCTGTTCCCAGGCTGAAGGTGAAAACCACAGCACTGCACCAGCTACTAAGAAGGAGAAAAATGACTGCTACTGCTGAACCCAGGACACTGCAGGTTCCCAGACTCCTCCCTTCCAACTGTGCCTCCTCCCTCACCAAGGCAAGGAGGAGCAGTTTTGGAAGGCCAAGGTTCATGCATGCAATCAGGTGAAGGAGGATTTCTGAACTGCATGGAAACAGGACTGGAAGGGACCACAAGACTCAGGTCCCTCCACTCCGAGCTCCATCCCAGCCCCTCCCAACAGGCTTTGTCTGTTTTTCTCATGGGATTCATCTGACCGAGCATAAATATTCCTGATAAAGCTAAGACAGGAAGCTCCATGTCTTCCTGGCACCACCTTGCTCACCTCTGTTAGCTTCCATGGGAACTTCATCTTCTTCCAAAGCCTCTTCCACCTGGTCATCCTCCTCTGGTGCCTGTGGGGGCTCCTGATCCTCTCTGATACATGTCTGTGGGGACTCCTGGCCGTCTTTGGTGCAGAGCTCTTCACCTCTCTCGATCCGGCAGAGGATGTCAGGCTTGGACACGGCATAGTCTGCTCAGGGGCCAGAGGACAGTGTGTTTTGTTGGGAACTGCCTGCACCTCTATTCCATCAAGCTCCCAACCATTTCCAGGCAATCCTTCTCTCCCTAACACCAGATGATGTAGAAAGGAAGTGCTGTGTTCTTGCCCTGTGGCAGGACCCACCTTTGGGCACAGCTGGAGCTTAGCTACTGAGAAGCTCTTAAGTAACAGAACATGAACTAAAATCTCAAGGAGCGGGAAAGGCTTTGTCTTGAAGGTTTCCTCCCATTCCAACTCTAACTCCCTCCAAGAGCAATTCTTGAGCTACCCATCTGGTGTCAGGACAGAAAATCTCTCAGCCCAAGTCATCCAAGAACATGCTGGATGTCCTTACAAAGACTGAGCACCACTAGGCTGGTTCTTCACGAAGGCAGATGGAAACTTCCCTGCCGCTTTACAGCGGGGCTGAACACACTGAACACAAGAACTGGTTCAAGGTGCAATTATCAGATTTCAGTCAAGTAATTCCTGCACTGTGCTGGAAGCTCACGATGCTTCCTTGACCCTGGAAACCCCTTTGCACTGCAGGAATGTCTCACACAAAACCATGCAACCCAAGACTCTGGACCCTGTCCATTCTTGGAAAGCAGGAGGGAGGGGAAACAGGTGCGTTTGACAGCTCAGACAAGCTCTGCTCCCTACAGGCAACATCCAGCCCACCCCGTGTACCTTACCCAGGGAGATCAGTGTCTCGTAGTTGCCCCTCATCACAGCCCTGTACAGATCCTTCTGCCAGCAGTCCAGTCGCTCCCACTCCTGCTCGTTGAAGTACACTGAAATGTCATCGAACGTCAGTGGCACCTGGCATCACAAGGATCACACACTCAGCGACTTCCAATGTCGTTGAATAACCGGAAACACACAACCACACTGGAAACTGGTGTGTGCCTGGCTTGGCTTTGGCTGCTGGAGCTCAGCGTGCCCAACCACATCAGAGCTGCTGCACCCCGAGTCCAGGACTCCCAGGTGCTCAGCCTGGATCGCTCCAGTGTTCCCTAACCCCCCTGCGCAAGCTCAGCAGGTGCTCCCAGGGGCCAGGCTGGCCACTGTTACCTTGGGGATCTCACCCCGAGAACCGGGGGGCAGCCGCAGGATCCAGAAGTTCCTGTTCTTGAGGAGGTTCTCCACATTGTCGAGCCGCTGCTGGAGCTGCCCATAGTCCTGCAGGAGGCCGCCCAGGGCTGCCAGGTTACTGCGCAGCTCCCCGACCAGGTTCTCGCAGGCCAGCAGCCTCCGCTCTGCCCTCTCCGTCCGGCTCCACAGCTCCTGCAGCTGCTGGGTCTCCGCCTGCCCTGCCGCAGCCCGTGGCCCCATGGCCTGCACCGCCTTCTGCTGCTGGGCACCCAAGTCCCAAAGGAGAAATGGGAACTGAAGGGTGGAGGCCTTGCCCTGGCCAAAGGGCAGCCAGGGCCTGGAGACCCACTCGTGGTGCCCCCCCCCTCAAGGGACACCCACAACCCCACATCCCCCGGGGGACCTGCCATCCCCTGAATGTGCCCCCCACACACTCCCAGGCCCAGTACCCCTGAGGGACAACCCCAACAGGACCTCCCCAGCCCCAAATCCCCCAGTACTGGCATCCCTGGGCGGTCCCCAGACCCACCTCCCCGTGAACTGCCTCCCCTGGGACGCCTCCCTCATCCCAGGACCAGCACCCCTGAAGGACCACCCTTCCAGCCCCCCTCCCCTGGGCCCGGCCCCAGCGCCCCAGGCCTGGCGCTGGGCCCGGGCAGACCCGTCCCGCGGCACCCCGCGGCCTCGACGCCCGGCCCCGGCGGGGCGCGGCCCTCACCTGAGCGCAGCCCCGACGGGACATGGCGCTCCGGATCGGACCCGCGCACCCTGCGGCAGCGGCGGGCCGGCAGGAAGCACCGCCTGAAGGGGCGGGGCCCCGCGGGGGAGAGCGCCCCCTTGCGGCCGGGAGGAGAAGGAGCTGGCTGGACGGAGGGGGCGGGCTGTGACTCCGGGGAGCGACGGGACGAGGGGAGCGACCCCAATGCCACCAAGGCACGGACCCCACTCACTGCCCCTGTGCCCTGGTACCACCGGCCCCCTGCGCTCCACGGGCTCCCCGGCACTCCCCGTGCCACCGGGACCCGGTGCAACAGACCTCACGCACCCTATAGGATGTCCGGACCCCCAGCACCATTGGCCCCATAGGCTGTGCCAATGCCCCGGTGCCCCTGAACCTCTCGGTGCCACCTAACCCCGCACCTCATTGACTGTCCCGGTGCCATGGACCGCCGGTGCCACCGACACCCCGCACTCGACAGACTCCCCCGGCACCCCCGGTGTCACCGGTCCCAGCACCCTATTGACTCTCCCGGTCCCCCAGTGCCACCCATCCCGCACTCCACTGTCTGCCCCGCACCCGCCGGTGCCACCGAGCCCAGGACCCCATTGGCTGTCCCAGTGTCACCGAGCCCAGCCCCACACCTCCCGCCGGACGCCCCGTGCCGCGCCGGTCCCTCGGTGCCATCGCACCCCCTGCTCCGGGGACAGGATGAGCCCCGGCACCGGCCCTGCCCCACCGGGGCGGGGGGAGCGGAGGCACCCACCCGGGGCTGCTGCACCGCGGTCCCGCTCCGAGCCGGGCCGGGGGAGGAGCCGGGAGCCGGGAGCCGGGAGTGGGGAGTGGGAAGCGGGGCTGCTCCGCCGCTGGTTGCCGTCCGGGAGCGGGCACCGGAGCAGCCCCCCGAGCCATGGCCGCGCCTCGGCAGGTAGGACCGGGAGAGCACCGTGAGGGGAGCATCGCGATGGGGAGAACAGGGATGGGGAGAGCACCGGGGAGAGGAGAGCACTGACATGGGGAGAACAGCAGGATGGGGGAACACTGGGATTGGCGGAGGATCCTACATAGGGAGCACTAGGGAGGGGAGCACTGGGAGATTGGGAGATCAGTGGGAAATTGGGAAATTAGGATTGGGAGATGACTGGGATGGGGAGAGCATTGGTATAAGGGGAACAGCGGTATGAGGGGAGCACCAGGATGGGGAGCAAGAGGATGGGGAGAGCTCCAGCATGGGGAGCAGTGGGATAGTGGGGAGCAGCAGGATGATGGGGAGCAACAGGATGATGGGGAGCAACAGGATGGTGGGGAGCAACAGGGTGGGGAGCAGTGGGATGGGGAGCAACAGGATGAGGAGCAAGGGGATGGGGAGCAAGGGGATAGTGAAGAGCAGAGGGATGGGGAGGAGTTGGGTGGGGAGCAGCATGATATGGGAGCAACAGGGATGGGGGGCAACAAGATGAGGAGCAGGGGGATGGGGAGCAGTGGGATGGGGAGGAGCTGGATGGGGAGCAGCAGGATGTGAGAGTAGTGGGATGGGGGTAGTAACAGGATGAGGAGCAGCAGGATGGTGGAGAGCACAGGAATGGGGAGCAGTGGGATGGGGAGCAGCACTATGCAGGGAGCAACAGGGTGGGGAGCAGTGGGATGGGGAGGAGCTGGATGGGGAGGAGCACTGGGATGGGGAGCAGTGGGATGTGGGAACACCACTGGAACAGTTTTGGGAGAGGATCCAGCTGGCAGCATGGGGCTGGGGTGCTGCCTGTCCTGCCCTGTCCTGTCCTGCCCTGTCCCATCCCAGAGGTCACTGTCCCACCAGGGTGGTTGCAGGCACAGCAGAAGTGGGGCCAAGGGTCATGGGGTGCTGCTAGTCTGGCTGCTACTGTGGGCAAATGGGGCTCATGTGCAGGCTCGGGGTGGAATTCAGGGGCTGGTCTATGCCAGGGCTGCTCCCCACATCCATGGAGCTCCAGGGGATCCCTGTCTTGTCAAATCCTCACACATCTGGTTCCAGCAGGACAGGTACAGTGACACGGAGCTGGCAACAACCATCACATGCGTTGGGCCCCTGCCCAGGCGGCGCAGGGAGGGAAAGGTTGGACGACGTGATCCCTGCTGCAAATACCACGGTGTCAGGGCAGGTTATCCCATGGGCTCCCTGACGAGCGGGAAGCATGCAGGGACCTGTCAGCCAGCGTGATGGGAAGTGTGTTGGGAGCATGCTGGGAAGCCCTCGCCTCCATGCCCATTGGGATGGGTGCACCAGCCCCGGAGCGCAGTGTGGCTGCTCACACTCACCATCCCTGCACACCCAGGCCCACCTCGGGTCCTGCTGCTGCTCACTGTGGCTCTGTGGTTTATTCCCTGCTCTGCCCCCCCGGCAGGAAGAGGGCTGGGACCCCCCAGTCGCATCCCCGCAGGCACCGGTGACATTCGAGGACGTGGCAGTGCGGTTCTCAGCAGAGGAGTGGGAGCTGATGGAGGAATGGCAGCGGGAGCTGCACCGGGAGGTGACAGAGGGGACATCCCAGCTGCTGGCATCCCTCGGTAGGGCCCTGCCCAGCCCTGGTCCCAACCATAGCAGGGACAGTGTGTGGGTCCCACTCATCTGGCCAAAGGGAGCTCAGTGTGGGGGCTGCCTTGCCTGACCCCCACCTGCCCTGTCCCCAGGACCCCCCAGCAGCCCAGCCCTCGCTGCCCTGGTGCGCCTGGTGAAGGAGATCCCCGAGTTTCTCTTCGGTGGCCCCAGGGCTGATGTGGAGCCGGGTGCCAACACCAGCGGGGACACTGAGCGGATGGGCGTCAATGGTGAGCACTGGGGCTGTGCAGGTGGGTGAGAGCGAGCCTGGTCCTGCCCCAGTGGGCACTGGCGACACAGGGGCTCTGCCTTGGTGCCTGGCAGGGTGTGAGGGCGAAGGTGTGAGTGCCAAAGGTGAAGCCACCCCACAGACCCCACCAGCTCTGGCTCCACCATTGGGGTTCCAGGGAGCCAACTGCTGAGCTGCACCCCAGCTGTGCCCTGGGCAAAGGATTCCCAGGAGCATCCAGCCCTGAGCAGGGCTTTCTCCTGATGCTGACACTGGCATTGCCGCAGTGCAGGGGTCTCCCTTGGGGTAGCCACTCACCAGACCCGGTCACCACAGAGCGGGGCCGTGTGGTGGAACCAAGGACGCCAGCATGGGGATGAGGGGCTGCAGGCGTCAGGTACTGAGGGTCTGGGCATCCCACAGGCCCCAGTGCGGTGTGTCCGGGGGTGTCCTCCCGCTACTGGGGATGCCAGGGGCTGGAATTTGCTTTCACAGGTACCATGGAGACGCCATCCGAGAGCTGCCTGCTCCGCAGCCTGGAGAGGTGCCTGGAGGAGCTGGCGGGGATGGGGGTCTGACCCCTCTGTTCCCCCAGCAAGCAGCCTCTACGGCCCCACTGAGAGGCATCAGGAAGAGCCCGGTGGTCCCCGGCCTCTGTGTGAGAGGCTCTCACTCAGAGGTGTGGCATGGCATGGCATCGTGCCCATGCTTTGGCATGAGTGCCCATGCACGGCACTGAGCGCACGCCACAGCACAGCATGGCATGGTACACTGTGCACAGCATGGGATGATGTGGCATGGCACAGCATGGCACAGCATGGCACAGCGTGGTGTGACAGGACTCGGTGCTGGTTTCCAGCATCTGCGGTGGCAGTTGGATGGAGCTGCCTGGACCCTGTGCTTGGGGGTGCGGGTACCACCGGATGTCCCCCATGGGAAGCAGCAGGGATGTGCTCTGTGCCCGGGAGTGATGGCATGCCTTGGGCTGCAGGGAGGGCTCCGCCATGGTGAGCCAGGTCCCATTGGCTCTTGCCCTGAGCGTGTCCCGCAGGCTCCGGGGGGCTGATCCCTGTCAGGGTGCCCCTGGGAGGGGGACACCCATGTGGGGGTCTGAGCTTTGGGAGAACACCCCGGGGGTTCAGGTCCCCAAGGAGCACCCCTGCATCCCTTTGGTGTCTGTTCCCTGCGGATCCCCTTGTGCTGGGAGGGGGATGCTGAGGGCCCCTCCACCCCTCACACCTTGGGGTGACACCGCAGGGGGCTCACCAGCTGGGAGTGTGGGGCAGAGCCCCCTGCAACGCCTTCAGGAGTGCCTGTGGGGCATCGGCATCCCCGACCCCATCCGAGCCTGGCCAGCAGCTGCCAGTGGCAGCGCGTCAGTGGCAGGGGGGCAGTGGCTCTTGTTGGTGTGAGGGGCCAGGGCCCCGGTGGGAGAAGGGGGTGGAACCCTGGGGGGATGGAATGGCCGTGCTGGATCCGTGGTGATGGCGGTTCTGGGCTGTGGTGCTGTGCAGGGATGACCCCATGGCCCCAGGTCCCCTCTCCTGTGTGCCCCGTGGTGCAGAGCAGGGCAATGGCCAGGTCTCAGCATTGCCCTGACCTGGTGGCCCCTTATCCCCTGGAGCTGGGACACACATGGGGCCCTGTGCCAGCACTGGGAACAGGCAGCCCAACGAGATGGGTGGGTTTTGGGGGCTGACAGGTTGGCTGTGCCACTTCCCAGGGGTGACAGCACCAGCAGTGCCCCCCCAGAGCCCCACTGAGACCCAAGTGTTGGGTGTATCCATCATCACCGTGTGCAGGGACCCCCATCATGCCAGCGGCACCCGGCCACCCGCCACCATGGGGACAGTGACCAAGAGACCCTTGGCTGAAGGTACCGGGGAGCTGGGGCCGGGCTGGGGATGGCATGGGAGGGAGCACGAGGGCATGGGCTGAGCTCCCACCTGCAGCTCGCAGTGGGTGCCATGTCCCCAATGGGCTCCAGCATGTGTCCCAGCGGCAGCACCAGGGTGAGCTCGCCCAAGAAGAGTGACCCCAGAGAGAGCCCCCCAGCCCCTCGGCGAGGCGCAGCACCCATGGGCTGTGGTTGGTGATGTCCATGTGCCCGTGGTGGCGGAGGAGCTGCACCGGGAGCTGTGTGGTGTGCGGAGACACCACAGGGCTGGGCACGGGAGCTGCCTGCTCTCCCCCGTGGCCACCGGCACCTCCGCCATGCCGCCCAGTGCCCGCAGGGCTGGTGCCGGGTGCTGGAGACCGGCTCCCGGCTCCCCCATGGTGCAGGAGGTGCCATCGCCATCAGCTCCCTGCAGACCGAGCTGCTGCCAGCCCTGGCACAGCCGCAGCTCCATGACCTGCTCCGCTTCACCAACACAATGGTGCCAACGCGGGCAGCCCACGGGTGCCCCCAGCCCCACAGCTGGGCCGGTGCCCATCTCACCATTGTTCCCATTGCCTGTCCCCACCATGGCGGGCCTGCCACACATCTCATCCCCTAGGGTGCAGGGGACAGGCAGGGCACGCTGCTGCCTGCGACCATGGTGTCCTGCAGCTCAGCCCCTCTGATTCCAGTGTCTCTGCCCATGCTCTGCTCCCTCAGGCACATAGCGCTCATTGGAGCGGACGGACCCCAACGTATCCCACCCCCTGTGCCAGGCAGCTTCTTGGCTTGGGTGCCCGGCACCACCAAGGGGTGAAGGCAGGAGAAGGGCTGCAAGAGCTGGGGAGCTGCTGCTGCCCCTGTGCCAACACCGAGCCCACCACGGGGCCTGCGTCACCGCCTGGCACATCAGCGCCGAGCCCTCGCTGCTCAGTGACGTGGTGACCTTTGCGTGTGTCCCCTGGGGCTGACGGTGCAGTGTGTGTGTGTCACTGTCACTGTCACCACTGAGCTACACCCCATGGCTCCAGCAACAGCTCCTGGGCATGGACCGGTCAGAGCCAGCAGTCCTGTGGTTGCCACTAATCACAGAATCATGGAACCATTTGGGTTGGAAGGGACCTTAAAGCCCATCCAGTTCCAACCCCCTGCCATGGGCAGGGACACCTTCCACTAGACCAGGTTGCTCCAAGCCCCTGTGTCCAACCCGGCCTTGAACACTGCCAGGGATGGGGCAGCCACAGCTTCTCTGGGCAACCTGTGCCAGGGCCTCACCACCCTCACAGGGAAGAACTCCTTCCTCAGATCCCATCTCAGTCTCCCCTCTGTCAGTTTAAAGCCATTCCCCCTTGTCCTGTCCCTACCTGCCCTTGTCAAAAGCCCCTCTCCAGCTTTCTTGTTGGCCCCTTTAGGCACTGGAAGCTGCTCTAAGGTCTCCCCAGAGCCTTCTCTTCTCCAGGCTGAAGAAGCCCAGCTCTCTCAGCCTGTCTCCATAGCAGAGGTGCTCCAGCCCTCAGAGCATCTTTGTGGCCTCCTTTGGACTCACTCCAACAGCTCCATGTCCTACTTATGTTGTTGCCCCAGATCTGGATGCAGAACTGCAGGGGAGGTCTCACCAGAGCAGAGGAGGAGTCAGCAGCTGCAGTCCCTTGCTGCCCTGCCCAGGACCCTCAATCCCAGCCACTGGAGCCCAGCCTGGTGCCCAGGGTCTCTGCCCTGGCTGGAGGACACGGCTGCTGCCTCCCCCATGTGGGTTCAGCCAAGCTAAGGTCATGTCCCTGACATACACAGGCAGGACACACAGACAGATGCACCCTCATGCTCTGGCTCGCTGGCTTTATTCAGTGTCATGGCAATGCAGGGCCGGGGGGCTGACCCCAGAAGCACTTTGGGGTGGTCAGTGGGGCTGGGCTTCCGCAGGCACAGGCTCACTTATACCCTGTGGACGGTGGGGGTGGGCCCCCAGACTGCGTCAGGGCATGGCCTGGGGTTGGTTGAGCCCCCGGTTCTCTCCTGGCGTGGGGCTGTGCCAAGGCACCAGCTTTGGTCCTTGCCAGGCCGTCTGGGCACTCACACCTCCTGCAAGACACAGTGGGGGCTGCCAGGGGTACCCGTGACCCCTATGTCCCCATCCGCAGGCTCACCAATGGGTCCTAACGGGGGCCCTGGTGCGGCTCTGGTGTTACCTGTGGCAGCAGCAGGACGGAGCTGAGGTGTCTCAGGCTGTGCCAGGTCCTTGTCCTCCCTCCTGTCCCTCTCCTGTGGGAGCAAGCACAGTGTCACACCAGCTCTGGGGCCAGACTGATGGGGTCAGCGGGCCATGGCTGGGGGCTGCCTGTGGCACCTCTGGACCTTTCACCATCCTCCTCCATTGGCTCCATACGCACCCGCCTGCGTGGCTGACCCTCACCATCCTCGCTGGCACGCCACGACATCGACCGCGATTCCTATGGGAGACACAGGCACCATTGGGGTGACAGTGACAAGTCACAGCCACGTCCCCCAGCCCCATGGTGTGGCATGGCACAACCGCAGCCCGGCTCACCTCACTCAGGACGGAGAAGCACCCGGAGCAGGGTCTGTGGGGCCGGCGCCGGCCAACGCCACTCGTCCCCTGTGAGGAAGGGTTGTTACCAGCTCTGATGCTGCTCAGGTCCACTTTGGCCTCTCCATAAACACCCTGAGCCTGTGCTGGGCAGTGGGGGCACAGGCAGGGAGGTGCGGGCGGGAGCACAAGCAGGAATGGTGGCTAGCACTGGGATGGGGAAGGACCGCAGTGCCCAGGCCTTCCCCAGCTCTTCCTGGTCCTTCCCATCAGACACCCATCCCCTGACCATGTTTTGGGTGTTTGGAGGTGATGCGCTCCCAGTCCCAGCCCTATCCCAAACCCTTTCCCTGCTCTCCCTTGGTTCAGTGAAGGCCCCGTTCCCCCCGCGCTGGTTGCGCAAGCCCTGGGGCTGCATGAGGAGCCCTGTGGTGTCAGCCCTCGGCGTGCCAAGCCCATCCTCAGCCCCACCAGCACCTGGAGCTGCACAGGGAGTCTGGGAAAGCTGCTTGTCTGGAATTTGGGCTGCCCCATATGGGGTTTTGGCAGAGGGCGCAGGTGCCGGAGCAACTGGTGCCCTCTGGGGTGCTGTGCGCAGCATTCCTCTCCCTGCGGTCTCCCCCATTACCCCCTGGCTTTACCATCCCCCTTCATACACAACCAACCTCTCTCCGCTGTGTGAGCTTCCTGTCTCCATGGTCAGCTCCAGCCACCACCACGAGGGCTGCGGCGGCAGTGAGGCCACAGAGCAGCCCCAGCCTCATGGTGCTGTGGGGGCCCAGCTCCAGCTGTCCCGCGGCTTCTGCACAGTCTCCAGGCTGGACCTTGGCCCCTGATGTCAGTGCAGCGCCTGGGCCGGCCCCTGGCTGCCCATTGCGGTCGATGGGAGCGATGCCACTGCAGGACATCGGGGAGGGGAAGGGAAGGAACCCGCTGGGGACAGGAAGCCATGGGCAGTGCTGTCACTGCAGGACAAAGATGGGGCAGATCCACTACCAGGAAAATTAGGATGGAGAAAACATCTCTCCCCACTCTGACCATGACCCTGCTCTGCAGGCAGCTCCATCGGTTGCTCCTCTCTCCTCCCCAAAGCACTGACGCCTCTTGGGTACAATTTGAGCCTCTGACTCTGTCGGATGACACCCGGGTGGAACCGAGCTTCATGGAACACCAGCTGGTTTGTTTTTCCATAGGAGCTCAGTTATTCATCGCCCAGCTCTGGATTTGAGTGCTAATGCAGGAAGTGAATTTATCAACAGCAATTCCCAACCCTTGTTTCTGTCCCTTCAACAGACCCGTTATTCCTGAATCTGCAACCATGGAGGTTGAATGTGGCTGAAGGTAAGAGTGTCGGATTGGTGACAACCAGGAAGGAAGCAGAGCTGCCCCCGGCCCCTCTCATGTCCAAGGACTGGCTGGAACACAAGGGGGGGGAATCTGCTGACAAATATCTATGCTCTTCATGCAACACCTGGCTAAAAACATAAAACCCCTATAGACTCCTTGCTAAAAAGTCTAAAAGGAGGAACAACGGGCACCACGAGGGCTCGAAACCACACAATGTACACAAGAAATAAAGGGTTAGTGTTAGTTTTCAACCCAGTGTGTTTTCAGTCGGCCTCAGCACTCCGGGAGGCTGCTGCAGCTTGAGATTTGAGTTACAAGGGGTGCTGTTGTCTGAAAGCGGTTCCATTGCACATGAGGGGAAGCAGGATGGGAAAAAGAGAGGGAACCACAGGATTTACACTGGTGCTTCTACCTGTTTCTTCTCATTTCACCATGGGTGGCTCCCCTGTACTGAAACTCATTCACTCCTTCCATTCCTAACTGAGGTGGAGGAGAAGACCCCCCCCAGTCCTGGAACACGGGTGCCGGGGAGGGGACAGCCGGGCCCCCGCCAGGCCCCATGGAGCCCCAGCCACGTTTTCAGCTCTGGCGGCGGCAGCTCCACGCACCCCAGACCCTCAGTGTCCCTGCACGAACCCCCCCGGGGCAGGGGGGCAGCCGCTCCCCCTGTAACAGCACCGCCCCCGTGCACTGCCGGGGCCCCCGAGGTTGCCAGGCCCGCACCCAAGGGGCGCTGTGCGGGAGCCGCAGCACGGGCAGCAGCAGCGGGGCGGGGCAGCGGCGGGGACGTGTGTGGGGCTGACCCGCGCTTGGGGCTCCGGCTCTGAGGCACCGGGTAAGTCGGGCGCTGGCTGCTCCCCAGCGGACACTGTTGCCCGCCCGGCCCCGTCTCTGCTCGGCCCCGGTGCTGCGGGGGACGGGGGGGGGGGACGGGACGACTCGAACCCCGGCCCCGAGAGGCGCCTGGGGCTTCCGACAGCCGCGTCCCTCGTTACCACGGCAACCGCGGGACGGGGCGTGCCCGCCCATGTAAACATCCGTGACGCACTTCCGGCAAGGAGCCCGCCTTTCCGCCTCCTTGCAGCACGTGCCAATCTCCTGACCCGGACATTCTTACGATGTCCCAGAATTCCCCGCGCCGCCCCGCCTCCCACGTGACACCCACCGGCTCCGCCATTGGCTGCCCCCACCGGCGGCACCATCTTGTGGCTGCTGCCCGCCCCGCCCGGCCATGGGCCCCAGGCCTGGGCCTACCCGAGAGGACTGCTGTGATTGGCTCAGCGCCGCATGTGACCCACGCGGCGCTCTGCCATTGGGCGGCTCCATACCTGCTCCGGTGAGGAGGGGAGGGCCCGATGGGGGTCCCCACGGCCGGCACAGCATCAGGGTGAGAGGTAACCCGCTCCCGTGTGGTGCCGCGGGGCAAGTGCTTGCTCTGAGCTCCTGCTCGATGGACAGGGCAGCAAAACCACTGCGTCCTGGCAACGTGAGGAGTGGTTGCAGGAGAGGGGTGCTTTGGCCCAAGGAAAAGGGGGCTCAGGGGAGAATTTATTGCTTCCTGCATGGCAGGAGGTTATAGTGAGGTGGGGGGTTGTCTCTTCTCCCAGGTAAGAAGTGATAGGACAAGAGGAAACGGCCTCAAGCTCCACCAGGGGACGTTTAAGAAAGATTTCACCAAAGGGGCTGTCAAGAGCTGGAACAGGCTGCCAAGGGACATGGTGGAGGCACCATCCCTGAAGGGGCTGAAAACACATGTAGACATAGCACTGAAGGACATGGTTTAGTGGTGGACTTTGCAGTGCCAGTCTTTTCCAACCTGTACTGTTCTGTGATGAGAAGTCTGGGATCACAGTCAGTGGAGGTTGTTAAGGCGAAAGTGTGGCTGTGGCTTGGCAGTGCCAGCACTCATTCACTTAAGTTAAACACGGGAAGCTCAGTCGGGCAGAGCAGAGCAGAGCAGCCAAGCTTAGTGCCATGAACACAACAGGGAATTCCTCCTGCACACAGACAGACAGACCAGTGGACAGTAACTTCGAATACTTTAATGAGAAGACAGGGAAGATCCCCATGGTCAGAAAACCTCTTGCCCCTGCAGCTGGCCCACCCGCGCTGCCCGTCTCCATTTTCTCTGTCCCACTCATCATTCCCTGGGCCTTTTCCTCTGGACAATCCCTGTTTCTGCCACAGGCACTGCACAGTTCTCCCACTGATCCCTCCTCTGCGTGTGTCTCACGGTATTTCCTTTCCCACACTGCTTGTGGGGCAGTTTGGCTGCAGGGAGGAAGGTGCTGTCAGCTGTCCATGAGGATAATGAAAGGACAGGTATCCGCATGCCAGACATAGCTCTTGAGCTCGAGCTTGTGGCACACGGATCCAAATACGTGGTCCACCGTCAGCATCAAGGTTCTGCAGGCAGCATGCAGCGGTATCTGATCTGAGTGAGGAGGTTCCTGTCCTTTGGTGCTCTGGTTAACATCAGAGCTGCAGATGGGCTGCTCCTCGCTATGTGCAGACACCTCAGGGTGCAGCACTTTGTTACTCTCCACTGCAGCCACCTCAGAGGGTGGGAGCACAGGCAGCAGTGCGGGAGATACCACAGGGGTGCAAAGAACTTCTGGAGAGCTGATTCTGCTCTCAGACAGGCTACTCGCCGCTGCAGCCACCTCAGAGGGTGGGAGCACAGGCAGCAGTGCAGGAGATACCACAGGGGTGCAAAGAACTTCTGGAGAGCTGATTCTGCTCTCAGACAGGCTGCTCGCCACTGCAGCCACCTCAGAGGGTGGGAGCACAGGCAGCAGTGCAGGAGATACCACAGGGGTGCAAAGAACTTCTGGAGAGCTGATTCTGCTCTCAGACAGGCTACTCGCCACTGCAGCCACCTCAGAGGGTGGGAGCACAGGCAGCAGTGCAGGAGATACCACAGGGGTGCAAAGAACTTCTGGAGAGCTGATTCTGCTCTCAGACAGGCTACTCGCCGTTCAGCCCTCAGAGGGTGGGAGCACAGGCAGCAGTGCAGGAGATAACACAGGGGTGTAAAGAACTTCTGGAGAGCTGATTCTGCTCTCAGACAGGCTGGTCGTCACTGGAGCCACCTCAGAGGGTGGGAGCACAGGCAGCAGTGCAGGAGATAACACAGGGGTGCAAAGAACTTCTGGAGAGCTGATTCTGCTCTCAGACAGGCTGCTCGTCACTGGAGCCACCTCAGAGGGTGGGAGCACAGGCAGCAGTGCGGGAGATACCACAGGGGTGCAAAGAACTTCTGGAGAGCTGATTCTGCTCTCAGACAGGCTACTCTCCACTGCAGCCACCTCAGAGGGTGGGAGCACAGGCAGCAGTGCAGGAGATACCACAGGGGTGCAAAGAACTTCTGGAGAGCTGATTCTGCTCTCAGACAGGGGCAGTGTGGCCTCACTCTCTGCAGGAGAACCAAGTGCTTCACACCTTCCCTCCATGGGGACTAACTCCACCTTGCCATCAGGGACAGCAGGCACAGGACTGCCGGTGCTGGAGGCACGCCAAGGAACCCTCAGCCTCCTGCTGATGTGGGAATTGCGGCGCCACATAATCCGTTTGGCTCTCCTGATGATCTGCCTGACCTGGGCTCTCCATGTGGTCAGCCTATGTAGTGCAACCCGAGCTTTGCCACCCAGACGAGCCATGTTACGAACCCTGGCCCTGAAACAAGTCCTCTGCGGGAGGCAGTATGCGTGGTCGTCGAGCACGGTGCTACTTGACATCTGCAGCTGGCAGTAGCTGTGGTCTGTGGGAGGACAGGGCCCGAGGCCGAAGTGCTGGATCTGCATCATGCTCACCCGACAGTAGCAGTGGTCCTTCCAGATAGCCTCCATCACATCCTTGGCACACAGTTCCCTGGGTCCCAGGAGGAATGGAGCTTCTCCTGAGGGGCAGAAGCTTTCATAGGTGCTCCCCTGACACTGCTCCTTTGGGTCACCATAAAGGTGCTCCTGAGGATATGATTTGCGGTTCTGCTGTTCCACACAGGAATTAAGTACGAGTTCTCTGCCTTGTGCTATGTTTGCTGTCACCCCTTGTTTATCCTCTGATGCTTCTTCCTTGGGCCAGACAACAGACTGTGCGTGGTTTTCGCTTTGCGCTGGCGCCACTCCTCTGCTGGCCACCTCCACCTGCACCTTGCTGTGACCCGTGAGACATCCTAGCTTGTTCAGGAGTGTTCCAGGCTGGAGATGGCACTGCAGGCTCTGTCCTCCTTCTGAGCATGTGCTGGTGGGAGTTTCCCTTCTGTCTGTCTGGTGCTCTAGAGAAAGGGGCAATGCTGAGGGGACAGGGAGGTAAGAAACCCCCATCCTCCCCAGTCTGGGGCCACCAGGGCTCTGCTTCTCCAGACTCTGCATGGCCGGTCTGGCCATGGGGCTGGAGAAGCACCAGTGGCACTGACCAGGCACAGCCAGATCCCGGTGCCAGCTCCCTGCTCCACAGCCCAGTAGCAAGGAAAAGGAGGGACCAGGACTCACCTTGGCAGGGGGACTGTGCCCTCTCCTCTGGCACACCAGCCCCAAGCCACCAGCCCCATGGAGGCGCCTTCAGCAACCCCATGGCCCCAGCACATCCTGCAGAGAAAGCAGATGGATAGATGTCACTTCCTGGCAGGGAAAGTGCCCCGCCACACGGTAGCTGTTGGGCAAAGGAGGAAGCCTTGTCCACTGCCGGCACCCAGGAGTGGTCCTACAGGACCTGGGTGGTTCTTGCTCACCTGGAGAGGGGCAGTCAGGGCCTTTCCACCTCGGTGGGCTCTGTGGCGAGCAGACCCATGGCTCTTCCCCACGCTCCATCCGATATAAAATGTCAGGTTTGGGGCCTGTGTAACCTGGGGGGTGGAACAGAGTGTGTTGTTCTAACACAGACTGTCAGAATAAAATGTTACCATGCGAAAAGAAAGGTGTTCCCTGTAACACTGTGCTTCACTGTGACAGGAAGAGCCCAAGCAGAAACACCATGAAAAGGGGGAAAAACAGCAAGCAAGATGTCAAGAGCTGCTGCCGGTGAGTGACAGCAGGCATGTTATCCAAAAGGACCCTGCTGTGCAATGAGGGGTTGGCTCCCTTCTACCATGCCTGGTGGGTGCCACCCCTGCCCTGCTGCAGCCTGAGCACCCAGGGGAGGGGCAGAGTCACTGGGCAAGAACCACCCAACCCCAGGGCTGGTAGCTCAAAGGGCCCCAAACCCCATACATTTGACAGACTCCCACACTGGTTTGAGTTGGAAAGGACCTTAAAGCTTGTCCAGTTCCAAGCCCCTGGAATACCTTCCACTAGAGCAGGTTGCTCCAAGCCCCGTCCAACCTGGCCTTGAACACTGCCAAGGATGGGGCAGCCACAGCTTCTCTGGGCAACCTGTGCCAGGGCCTCACCACCCTCACAGGGAAGAACTTCTTCCTCAGATCCCATCTCAATCTTCCCTCTGTCAGTTTAAATCCATTCCCCCTTGTCCTGTCCATACCTGCCCTTGTCAAAAGCCCCTCTCCAGCTTTCTTGCTGGCCCCTTTAGGCACTGGAAGCTGCTCTAAAGTGTCCCCAGAGCCTTCTCCAGGCTGAACAAGCCCAGCTCTTTCAGCCTGTCTCCATAGCAGAGGTGCTTCAGCCCTCGGAGCATCTTCATGGCCTTCTCTGGACTCACTCCAACAGGTCTACATCCACATTTTCCAGCAGTACCCCCCCCCCCCCAGTGATACAGTGCTCAGCAGTTATCCAAGACATAGCTCCATATGCGCCCATCAGTGCCTCAAGTTGCTGGAAGCAGTGTGGTCCTGATGGGGTCTAGCATGCAGGACCCCCCAACCCCAGATATTCCAAGTGGAGTTACCCAGGGATGTCAGGAGCCCGTAGTTGTCCATCATGACGCTGCAGTAGAGCTCCCTCTGCCCTGCTGTGATGGTGTCCCACTCCGTGCGGCTCAGGTAGAGGGCGATGTCCTCGAAGGTCAGTGGTTCCTGCCACACACACTCTTGGCACCCTTGTCCCTCATGTGCTGGGGCCCATTCCCACAGGGCAGGGGGAGGGTTTCAGATGGGTTTTCTCTTCCAGGCACTATTCTCACCCCCAGGAAGCCTCCTGCTGTTGGGAATGCTAACAGAGCGCACACACCCAGGGATGCTGTGTGCCATGCGGGGCTATGCATCACTGGGGACCAACCGCAAGACACTGCCCAGAGTGCCAGGGACGTGTTCAGGGTGGCCCGATAACTCATCCCCATGGAGAACCCATGGTGGGAAGCGCCATCACAGTGGCTGCAGGCATGGGGGGCAGCAGGAACCACACTAGAGAGGGGAGTGTGGTGCAGGGCATCGAGGGAGGTAGTGTGGGCTCCCCCCACCCCCAGGCCTGGCTCCTACCTGTGTCCACCTCGCCATGGTGGGGGATGTGAGGGCCCTGCAGGGGAGGCCCCGGTCCCCCCTGCGCCCCAGAGCCCCCCACGCTCGCAGGCTGCGAGCCGGAAGTAGGCCGCATGACATCTCCGGCAGTCATGCCCTCACGTGTTTCCGGCCCGGAGCCACGCCCACACCCGGAAGTAGCCAGCGAGCACGTCACCCGCCGCTGTGCGGAGGGGAATGAACGCGAGAGGATGTCAGCGCCGCCGCCGCCATTTTGAGAACGGCTCTTCGGCACCGTGGTGGTCCCGTGATAGGAAGGGGTGGGGTCAGGAGGTGGGGCGGGGCGGGGCGGGGCGACCTCCGCCCCTGAGTCGGTTGTCAGCAGCAGCAGGGGTTGGTATGGGCTGGGGTGCGGGGAAGAGTTCTCATGAGGGTGGTGAGGCCCTGGCACAGGTTGCCCAGAGAAGCTGTGGCTGCCCCATCCCTGGCAGTGCTCAAGGCCAGGTTGGACACAGGGGCTTGGAGCAACCTGGTCTGGCGGAAGGTGTCCCTGGCTGTGGCAGGGGGTTGGAACTGGATGAGCTTTAAGGTCCCTTCCAACCCAAACCATTCTGTGACTGATTTTACCACACCTGCCCATTTCCATGGTGATGGGGCAGTTTCTGCTGTTGTGGGGCAGCACCAGCCCCTCACTGATGGCTGGTTCAGGGCTGTGGGTTCAGCTCAGGGGATGTGCAGTGCAGAGAAATCCCTCCCCATGCACATCCTCTCCAATGCGCAGTCATGCTGGTTTAACCCCAGCCCTGTGTCTGGAGAAGGAAACCCACACCCTGCAGAAGGAGCCGAACTCAAAGCCCAGGACAGAGTGCAGGTTCTTTGGTGAAGTGTTTTAAACCCTGCTTCTGTTATTCCACAGGAAAAAAAAAAAAAAGAGAGATGGTTGCACCTGCTTTTTGTGGTTCTTATGGATCAGGAAAAGCATCTTGGACAAGATTTCTGTCCAAATAAGAGCTGAAAGTCAACAGAGATGGACATTCCGGCTGCATGTCCATAGCAGGAGTTTAACGACTCTTTTGTTTTCACATTTGCTTGTACCGCTGTCACAAGCCAGGTCCTTATGGAACATTATTTTCTCACAGTTGTGTGTGCCCTACAAATATCTGGATCGAAAGAAGGAAAAGGCAGTTGCCTGCTTAATTTTAACTGAAGTATTTCTTTTCCGCTAAACTTGTCACATGAGTCTTTCACATACGGTTTGATTATTTAAGCCATTTTTTATTCTTTCTTTATTTCTCAGGAAGGAAATTACGATGGGAATAGAATAGAATTGAAAGGAACAGAGTAGCATAGACTAGACTAGATTAGACTGAACTGGAATGGAAGAGAAGATAGGATAGGATAGGTTGGAATGGAATAGTTATTGAATAGAACAGATTTTGAATAGAATAGATACCAAATAGAAAAAAATATCGTGGAATAGAAACAGAAGTAGAATGAAGTAGAAAAAGAATACAACAGAATGAAATGGAATAGGATAGAGTAGGGGAGGGGAGGGCAGGGGAGGGTAGAGTAGGATAGGGTAGAGCAGGGCAGAGTAGAGTAAGGTAGGGTAGGGTAGTGTAGGATAGGGCAGAGTAGGGTAGAGCAGGGTAGGGCACAGTAGGGTATGGCAGGGTAGGATAGGGTAGAGCAGGGTAGGGTAGAGTAGAGTATGGTAGGGTAGGGCAGGGCAGGGTAGGGTCGAGTAGAATAAGGTAGTGCAGAGTAGGGTAGGGTAGGGTAGCATAGGATAGGACAGCGTAGGGTAGAGTAGGATAGGGTAGGGCATGGTAGGGTAAAGTGAGGTAGGATAAGATGGGGTAGAGCAGGGTAGGGTACAGTAGAGTAGGGTAGTGCAGGGTAGGGTAGAGTAGGGTAGGGTAAAGTAGGGTAGGGTAGGGCAGGGCAGGGTAGAGTACAGTAGGGTAGTGTAGAATAGGGAAGGGTAGAGTGGGGTAGGGCAGAGTAAGGTAGATTTGGATAGGGTAGGGTAAAGTAGGGTAGTGTAGGATAGGGTAGGGTAGAATCGGATAGGGTAGAGCAGGGTAGGGTACAGTAGGGTAGGGCAGGGAGGGTAGTGTAGAGTAGGGTAAAATAGGGTAGGGTATGGCAGGGCAGGGTAGAGTAGAATAGGGTAGTGCAGGGTAGAGTACAGTAGGGTAGGGTAGAGTAGGGCACAGTAGGGTAGAGCAGGGTAGGGCAGGTTAGGGTAGAGTAGGGCAGGGTAGGGTAGAGTAGAGTAGGGTAGGGAAGGGTAGGTTAAGGCAGGGTAGGGTAGAGTAGGGTAGGGTAGGGAAGGGTAGGTTAAGGCAGGGTATGTCAGGGTAGAGTTGGGTAGGGTCAGGTAGAGTAGGGTAGGGCAGGGTCAGGTAGGGTAGGGTACAGTAGGGCACAGTAGGGTAGGGTAGAGTAGGGCACAGTAGGGTAGAGTAGGCTATGGCAGGGTAGGGTAGAGTAGAATAGGTCAGGGTAGAGTAGGGTAGTTTAGGGTAGGGTAGAGTTGGGTAGGGCAGGATAGGTTAAGGCAGGATAGGTTAAGATAGGGTAGGGTGGGGTAGAGTAGGGTAAGGTTGCGTAGGGTAGGGTAGGGTAGAGTAAGGTAGGGTCAGGTAGAGTAGAGAAGGTCAGGGTAGGGTAGGTCAAGGTAGAGTAGGGTAGCACAGGGTAGGGTATAGTACGGTGGTATGGTAGGGTAGGGTAGAGTAGAGTAAGGCAGGGTGGGGTAGGGCAGGGTACAGTAGGGTATGGTAGAGTAGGGTAGAGGAGGTTAGAATAGGGTAGGGTACAGCAGGGTAGCATAGGTAGAGTAGGGTATGTCAGGGTAGAGTAGGGTAGGATAGGGTAGGGTAGTGTAGGGTAGAGCAGAGTAGGGTAGGGTAGGGTAGGGCAGGGTAGGGTACGGCAGGGTCGTGTAGGGTAGAGTAGGGTAGGGCAGGTTAGGGTAGAGTAGGGTAGTGCAGGGTAGGGTAGAGTAGGGCAGGGCAGGTTAGTGTAGAGTAGGGCAGGGTAGGGTACGGTAGATTAGGATAGGGTAGAGTAGGGTAGGGTAGAGGAGGGCAGGGTAGGATAGAGTAGGGTAGGGTAGGGTAGGGTAGGGTATGGCAGGGTAGGTTAAGGCAGGGTAGGGTCGAGTAGGGTAGAGTAGGGCAGGGTATGGTAGGGCAGGGTAGGTTAAGGCAGGGTATGGCAGGGTATAGTTGGGTAGGGTTGGGTAGAGGAGGGTAGGGCAGGGTTGGGTAGATTAGGGTAGGGTAGAGTAGGGTACAGTAGGGTAGAGTAGAGTATGGCAGGGTAGGGTAGGTTAGAGTAGGGCAGGGTAGTGTAGAGTAGGGTAGGGCAGGGCAGGGTAGGGTAGAGTAGGGCAGGGTAGGGTAGGGCAGGGTAGGGTAGGGTAGAGTAGGGTAGGGTAGGGCAGAGTAGGGTAGGGTAGAATAGGTTGGGGTAGGGTAGGGCAGGGTAGGGTAGTTTAGGGTAGGGTAGAGTTGGGTAGGGCAGGGTAGGTTAAGGCAGGGTAGGTTAAGATAGGGTAGGGCAGGGTAGGGTGGGATAGAGTAGGGTAAGGTTGAGTAGGGTAGAGTAAGGTAGGGTCACGTAGAGTAGGGAAGGGCAGGGTAGGGTAGAGTAGGGTAGGGTAGGTCAAGGTAGAGTAGGGTAGCACAGGGTAGGGTACAGTAGGGTAGAGTAGGATAGGGTAGGGAAGTGTAGGGTAGAGTAGGGTGGAGTAGGGTATGGTACAGCAGGGTCGTGTAGCGTAGAGTAGGGTAGGGCAGGGTAATGTAGGGTAGGGTAGAGCAGGGTAGGGTAGAGTAGGGTAGGGTAGGGAAGTGTAGGGTAGAGTAGGGCAGGGTAGGGTAGGGTAGGGTAGGGCAGGGTAGGTTAAGGCAGGGTAGGGTAGGGCAGGGTAGGGTGGGGTAGAGAAGGGTCTGGTAGAGTAGTGTAGGGCAGGGTAGGGTAGAGTAGGATAGGGTAAAGTAGGATACAGTAGGGTAGGTTAGGGTAGGGTAGGCTACGGCAGGGGAGGGTAGAGTCAGGTAGTCAGGGTAGAGTAGGGTCAGGTAGTCAGGGTAGGGTAGGGTAGTGTAGGATATGGTAGTGTAGGATAGGGTAGAGTATAGTAGGGCAGGGTAGGTTAAGGCAGTGTAGGGTAGAGTAGGTTTGGGTAGGATAGAATTGGCTAGGGTAGAGTTGGGTAGGGTAGTGTAGGGTAGGGTAAGGAAGTGTAGGGTAGAGTAGGGCAGAGTAGGGTATGGTAGAGTAGTGTAGGGCAGGGTAGTGGAGGGTAGAGCAGGGTAGGGTAGGGTGGAGTAGTGTAGGGTATGGTAGTGTAGGGTAAGACAGAGTAGGGTATGGTAGGGTAGGGTAGGGCAGGGTACAGTAGGGTGTGGTAGCGTAGGGTAGGTAGAGTAGGGTAGGGGAGGTTAGAATAGGGTAGGGTACAGCAGGGTAGCATAGGGTAGAGTAGGGTAGGGCAGGGTAGTGTAGCGCAGGGTAGGGTAGGGTAGTGTAGGGTAGAGTCGGGTAGAGTAGGATAGGGTAGGGTAGAGCAGAGTAGGGTAGGGCAGGGTAGTGTAGGGTAGAGCAGGGTAGGGTAGGGTAGGGTTGGGTAGGTAGAGTAGGGTAGGGCAGGGTAGTGTAGAGTAGGGTAGGGTGGAGTATGGTAGGGCATGGTAGGGAGAGTAGGGTAGGTCAGGGTAGAG